CAGGAAGGGGATTTAGAACAGCTCTCTTTTTGTACCATTTGAACTTAAAAAGACAAAAAATCTGATTTATTTTCTTTAGCCCAAGGGAACTTTTGGGTTCCTTCTTGTTTCCGTTTTGCAATGGGGAGATATAGGAAGAGTGTTTGGGTAAATGCCAAAACCACATTTAGTATATCTTTTTGTTTCATTTGCAGCATTTGCACTTTTTTTTATAATAGACAAATACTAACCTATACCAAAACAAGGGAACATTTCAAGTGTTTGTTTCTGCTTTAGTTTCACAGCTATGAAGCACTGATAATATTAGTCACCAAGGAACTGATTGGTAAAATTTGAAAATGCAGTCTGGATGAGACAATATTATTGATTTACTCTATTTTACTGCTATGAATGTTCTTGGAAAAAATACTCCCATTCTGCACAGAAAAGAAAAATTTTGTAAAAGATGTCCATAGAAATGAACAGTTAATTACTGTTAAAGCTTGCATTGTCCAAATTACAGAAGAAAAGCCCATTGGGATAAGAGATCAAGACAGAAGTAGCACATTTTTATGTTCTGTTTCTATAGTTAAAAGTTAATCAGTTATCAGCTATTAAAAAAAACAACTGAGAAAATAACCAGGAGTGCAACATCACATAAAATCAGAAAATCACAGAATAGTTTGGGTTGGAAGGGACTTTAAAGATCATCTTGTTCCAGCCTCCCTGTCATGGGCAGGGATGTCACCCACGAGAGCAGGTTGCACAAAGCTCCATCCAACCTAGCCTCAAACACTTCCAGGCATGGGTCTTCCACAACTTCTCTGGACAACCTGTGCGAATGCCTCACCACCCTCACAATAAAGTATTTCTTCCTAATGCCTAATCTAAATCTGCCCTCTTTCAGTTTAAAGCCATTGCCCCTTGTTCTGACCCAACACAGGTGCAGATCTTGCACATTAATTTAGTTAACATCAAACCTTTGTTCTGCTTAGCACAAAAACAAATGGATAATGAAAACTGGTGTGAACACCTGCATCTACAAATTGATGTAGGGTATTCTTTCAGTGCTGAGTCTCATGAAAAATACCATGAGCACTACAAGGTGACACAGCCTCCTGGGAGGTGCTGCTGATCCCGAACACCTGTTGCTCTTCAAATGCAAATGGTAGTGCTGGTCTCTTGGCTGCTGAGCCAGTACCAGGTGCTAGGAACACTCAAGGCCATATAATGAATATAGGGGGAGGACATCACTTCACTGCTCTTTTGTGCTTTAGTGTGCCAAAATGCAGCTACAGAATTATTAAATTTTTCCTGGAGCAATCTGTGTCAATTAAACATGTGGGTTTGTTTTTTGTTTGGTTGGTCTTTTTCTTTATCTCTTTTTTTTTTTTTGGGGGGGGGGATCTTTAGCACACACTGTAATAAAAAAATATAACTTTTCCTTGAATGTGAATCTTGGATGTTAATTGAAATCAAGGCAGGACATTTGCGAGCAGAAGTGAAATCTCCTATTAGACAACTCACATATATACATTTAAAAAAAAACATGTAAAAGGCTTCAGGTGCTACAGTCCTACTTTAGTGTGAGTAAAAGCTTTACTAGTTTTTCCACTAGATGGGTTAATAAAGGGACATCACTGTTACCTCTAATCTCTGTGTTATCTGTGTGCTTAGTCAACCACAACCTCAGCCAAAATTGAAGAGTTAAATTAACTATAACTTTCGTTGTTGTTGTTGTTTTAATAAGATAGAACAGATTTTATTTTCATGTAGGATAATTATTTCTGGAGTAGTTTTTCCATCATAAGCCTTATATTTCTAACTACTATGGTTTGCAACAATAAACCATACTTCTCAAACATCTATTTCAGGAGAACAATCCCACTATTCAAGCATCACAACCACTGCTTGTCAGAGAACTCTGTTCACCTCATGGAGGAAGAGTCATGAATGTACTAATTAGGATATCTGCACAGATTTTCCAGTTTGTGTACCTACAGGCAAAACTGTCACTTTCACTTTTAGTCTAGTTCGGTAATTTATAGATGTTAGAGGCTGCAAACCATGCTTAATTCTTCATTCAATTAAAAAATTCCACTTAATGAAATCTGTAGCTTTGCATGAGTAACTGCCACATCAAAACCAGCATTTGCTGGATAGAGTTTGAAGAACTGACCCAACTTATCACACCCTCTTAAGCCTCACAGACTCCTCCTGCATCCTTCAGCATGATGGTGATTCAACAGAAAACCACTGCATTCCAATATAAAGCATGACATTAGGAAACGGCACAAAGCTACTGAAAGGGGCTTCAACAGTGAAAGGTTGTTTTTTAAATTGTTTTCCTACTGACTGGATATTTTTCTCTGCCTGTGATCTGTTACCCTGCAAAGACTGCTCTCCCAAATGTATGTGCTCGATAAGGGGTGAAAGCGGCTTATTGAGCCTGAATGTCTTGCAGAATCATCATGAAAATTTTCATTCCAAAGCACGAAATATATTTCTCTGCTCTTTGCCAGGCCAGTTAATGATGGGAGGGGCCCCCTGGTGGTCTAGTGGTTCGGATGTGGCGCTCTCACCGCCGCGGCCTGGGTTCGATTCCCGGTCAGGGGACTTCCCTGGGCAGATGGAGCTTGTTCAGCCCTGTAAGGCCATTCATCTAAGAGAAGGTCACTCTAAACAAACCTACGTCCTGAGGACCTCGCTGCCACTGTCGAAGCTCGCTCGGCCCCGGCAGATGAACCTTAGGATTAAAGGGTGGGCTCAGTTCAGCGCACACTGTGTCTCACCTAAAAAATCCACTGCGCAGGCTGGAAGGGTAATGACCTTTCCCAAATCTTCATTCACGAAGACTGGCCATGATATAATGATGCGAAAACAGATGGTGTTTGCTCATTTGTCAAATTAAACATAATCCCCCCCCAAAGGCAACCAAACACTCCTCGTGAATGATTTGGTTGATCACTGTCATTAACACATCTCTTCAGGAAGTGGCAATTATCCAGCCAGTGACTCAGTGTTCTCTCGAGCACAGCTACTCATTCCTGCTGTCTGTTCATTGTCCCTCAAATGCCACCTCAATCTCACTGATTTAACTGCTCCTCGTCTCCCTCCTTGTCCCGCTGCTGGTCTCTAACTGCAAATAGCCACATCCCAGCCTTCCTCCATCCCCTCCAGGGGTTCCCTGGACGACTTCCGGTTCCCCACTCTTCTTCAGTCTCCTTAATCCCAAACTACATTTTTCTGTCCTTCCTGGTTTTCCCCATTGAAGTATCCTTCCCTTGTGAGAATCAGCACCTCCTCTCCTGTCCAGACTCCTCACTCCTCATCCAGCTTTGGCACCTGCCCTTCCACCACATCTGAGATTCCCCTGCATTCCCCCTCCATCCCTCATGACCAATCTCCTGACTGACTCCCTTTCAGGATAATCCTCTAATTTTCCACATCTTCATGCGATATTATCAATATAACTCCAGACCTAGAAAGGGCTGGAGGGACAAGAGGTTCAGAGTGTCCGACTCTGGGACATTAAATGTTTACAGTATTTTCAACTTAGGTACATATTATAGCACTTTGAAGCTCAATGCGTTTTTCAAAGGCTTTTTAACATGCTTGCAGGCTTTGTTCTTTGCTGTAAAAAAAAAAAAAAAAAAAAAAAAAAAAAAAAAAGAAAAAAGAAGGAAGAAGAAGAAAAATAAAATAAAATAAAAAAATAACAGCCCACCAACCCTCCCTCCTTTGTTCACAGCTGCCTGAGTTAATAATTCTCTGTTTCTTCTGTGATTATCCACAAGAAAATTGAGGGGAAAGCAAACTAACTGACAAACTTTATATTTTAAATTAATTCAATCTTCCTGGGAATAAAACCACCTTAAAAGCTTGCAGATAGTTATTATGCCTGAGAAGTACTGAAGAAAAAGGACTTATCTACACCTGAACAGGCAGTTTCACTTATTCCATATGATTGAGAGTAAGCATATGATTAAACACTTTGCTGAATTTTAGGCACTAAATGCAACTCTGCAAAAACCTGAGCACTCTTCCACTAATATGAACATGTTTGTGAAGCTTTCAAATGAAACTTCCTATTACTAGCATTCTTCTAAATGTCATGCAGGCAGTATCATATTGTTCATAGTTGGTGCTTTCTTAAACTGAACTGCATCTTTATTAATGTAAACAGTCTATTTTTATGAATGTACTACTTCAAAAGAAATCAATAAAAATACTATCTCAGCAATTGCATGAGTCAATACAGGTATATCTGAAGATCTTGCAAATATTTTCCTTTTAATGATCCAAGTCTTTCACTTGAACACGACATCTGTCATCAAGTTTCACCACAGGTACAGGTAGTTGGGTGAGAAGAGAGGGAAGGGAAACAATTGTCCATCCCCCTTGGCGCCACCCAAGCCCACTGGGGTATCAGTGGGGGATCAGCAGGTATCAGCTGCCCACCTGCCCCACCTTCCTGCCATCTACCCTGTGGCTGCAAGAGGGGTTTACATATTCATTTAAAAGCAAACAAACAAATAATAATTAAAAAACCCCAGCAAATCACAGAACTGGTCAGTACATAACAGCATTTTCTAGTAGATGTGATTCATCTAAGAGAAGGCAGGCACTGGTTGCCTGAGTGGTCAGCCAGGAAGAGGAGGAAAGAGAAAACATTTCTGTGCTGTAGTTCTCATAAAACACAAAACTGAAATAGGTCAGCTAAACAGCACTTTCACGGTGCCACTTCTCTCTGTTGACCACAAAAACAATGTCAGGAGGCATGATCAAAGGTGGTTATCACAGTTTAGATGTGGTAAAATAAATTGATTGTGTGCTTTGCTTTTTTCATTGTGATCAATGGGGCACAGATATTTTCCTCTGAAACTTCCCTCTGCCTCACTACTTTTAAATACATTTGTATGAACAATAGCGTTGACACAGACCTAGTTACCCGTGACATACATTAAAAGCAAGACAACCTACTGCATACACAAGAGAAACTTACAGAAGAAGAAGAGGCATTTCAAACTGAACTTGATTATGAATGAAATTTGCAAAAAGCCAACAACAAAAAAAAAACATGCTGAAGAATTACAGCCATGCAAGATGCATTTAAGAGACATGTAGATGTGGCACCTGGGGACAGGGTTTAGTGGTGGGCTAGGCAGTGCTGGGTTAATGGTTGGACTTGATGGTCTTGGAGGTCTTTTCTAGATTCAATGATTCAATGATGCTCAGTGTTCACAGAGTAGCTCTGCACTCTGGACCCCACAGTCTGGGCAGAAAACCGCACCATGTCCTGGAAAGCAGTACAGCTCAGAGAGAAACTTCCTTGGAGGCAGTTTTTGGGGCAGGTATGATGTTATACAGTGACTGCACATAGGAAAACACAAGTTTTGGCTCTAAACAGAAAGCACATATTTTCAAATAAATGTATAAAAATGTATTTACAATAAATGAAAACAAGCAAATGAGGGCCACTACATCACATACTATACCCAACAACTTCCTCTTTAACCAACAGAAGCAGGAAGAACGAGTTATACATAACAATTTCTTGTCACATTATTTGATGATGTGTTTCTCACATTATATGATAATTTGAACAAGAGGAGTTCAGTGAGGAGAAGAAAAATAAATACCTCTATAGATTCACAGTAGTAATGCACCAACAGGCATAAAAAAGCTCACTAAAAATGGTGAAGTGTTGTACTTCCATTTGTGGCACTTAAGAAACACTTAGAGATCAGTTAAATACCAAAAAATTAAAAATTTCCATTTCATTTATACTGAAGGCATTATAAGTAGAAACTGTTAAGTATATAAACATAACCTTTACACCTGACTATTTACCTTTAGCTTTGTAATAAGTTTTATAAGCCGTAACATACTATATCCCCTCTTAAAATTTAAAAAAATTCTAGCAAAATAAGGCTTCTAAAATTTCAAATATTATAAGGCACTCTACTGTAAATAAGACTTTCTGATATGCAAAAAAAAAAAAGTCCTTGGCAGAAGATCAGTCACATTTCTGGCAATGCAGGGCTTCTTATCCTACTCATTCTACGTGTTTCAATCCTTTAAGATAACATTAACAATAGAATTTAATCTGGAGATGATCTTCGTGGCACAGTGCATTTTTATTTCATGACAGTGGTTTTTCATTGGTGCATTCCCCAGGATTCTGCTTTCTGGCCATGACCTACTCTGCTACTTCTGAGTGGCTTTGTTTTCCCATAGCTAACTCACCACCATTTTTGTACTTTTCAGCAAAATAGTCAGAGTCAAAGCTCACAGACAAATCTGGAGGACACACATAAATGCTTCCATTGTCTATTGTGAGCTTATGAATCCTTTGTTTGACCCCTTTTGATTGCCACTGTGGTGTTGGTGATGGCTCCAGAGGGTTTATTCCTTCATATAATCCTTCTCCTGTTTCCAAGGTAATTTTAAACTTATGCCAAGGACAAACAATACATGCTTGGCCATTGATATCCTGCAGGAAGAAGAAGAAAAGATAGCAAGTCATCTTCTAGGACAAAAGATATGTTTGATGATTTGGCTGTATGGCTGTCTGCTGTTATATAATCAGTTTTTTCAATGGTATGCTCAGATAAAAGTACTAGAAAAAGTGCATTAGAGTTTTCACATGACTCTATGCATTTTTTTTATTTTGTTTACATACCTCTATTTCTCCACGACACAAAGGGCCTCCTTCGTCTGAAACATGGCAGAATACCATAATTATTTATGTAGCAAATACATTTTATGCTTAATTGTTGCAACACTGAGATCATATGTGCAAGTATCTTACGGTAGCAGCGAGAGTCCAGGGCGTGAAATTTCCCCTCATGGTAGAAAACAACAATTTCTCTGCCATTGATTTTAGCTGTTATTCTTCCAGACTTCTTTATGTCCTCTTCTTTGCCAATAAATATAAGACCATCTGGCCTCATTTCAGCTGCTCCTCTGCTTGAGCTGTGCGAATCTACATTCTTAAAACACACAAACACACACACAAATAAATGAAAAAACCACTTATAAAGCAGGTCACATTTGGATTTCTCTGGTACAGAGGATGTCCCAGAGAAAACCCTGATGCATGAGGTGAAAGGAGAAATTTTAGTGAAAGACTATCAACATACAGGCAAAGAAAAGCACAGGAGTTTAGTGATAATGTTCAGTCCACATGTTCACTAACAGAACACGGACAAGGAAAACCAGCTGTTGCAAACCTGATACCTGCGGCAAGATAAATTCTCAATCACTATTCACTTACTCTGCACTTTAACCACCTTCTCCCCTCAAAACCTATATGCAAACAAATACAAAGATGGTAAATGTAACATGCTATATAATTTATTTATGCAATGAGTAACATTCACATGTAAATCCAATATTCTTTAAATAATAATATGGCTAGAAAGATAAAGTGATGTAAGTTGATAAAAAAATTATTCTGCAAAAGAGAAAAAGCATTGTTTATTGAGCTGTATTCAACTTGACCTTTCTAACAAATGTGCCTGCCTTTCCCTTCCTCCTCTTATGTATTTCAAACATCTAACAGACTCTCCCTCTCCCAACAGATTATATAAGCAGCTTTATCACAAAAACTGCCTTCCCATTAAATTTACTTACAATTAGCTACTGTGTTCCAGTTCCCTTCAAATTCCCAGTACAACTATGCTACTCTCACTTCCTCAGAAAAATCAGTTCAAAACAGGTCTTTATAAACACAGAGTCCAAAGGGAAACTGCAGGTGGGAGGGCCTCTGGCTGCAGGGTATGTAGAGTCACTGAAAGCCGCACTGTACCTTTGCTCCACACCAGATGGCAATGGATATGAGAAAGCAGATGAAGAAATGGATGCTGAGGATGATGAGGTCCAGCATTGCCTCTCTTCACGTTGTCTATCTGCCAGGCCTTGTTGGTATCTGTCATGACGTGCATCGCAGCACCTCTTTATGTGCAAATGGGAGGCATTGGGACCAGCCTCTACAGCACCCTATGGGAGGATGTATGGAGGCTCAGCACGTCAGAACCCAGCTCTGCTAGGGCTGATAAGAAGCTGGGACATGCTGGGGCTGGCCTGATAACAGAAGAGGAGAGCTTCACATTCCTCCTTCTGCTGTCCTCACTGTGAGCCCACATGAATGCTGCCTTCTCCCAAAACCCTGCTCAGTCACAGGTATGTGACATGTGTCCTCAGGATCAGCAACTGCATATTTCCATGTTTCACTGCACTGGGAAGAGTGGTTTAAGTGGCACTGTGACATTTCCAAGGCGAGTTGTTAACTGATCAGCACGTGATCAACTGTATAGACTGGCCAACTCTCTGCTTTCCAGTTCAAGGAACTTCCACCCAGTTTTACCCAGAAAGTGAAACGTCACTATCAGACTCACAGGACAAACCAATAAGGCACTGACACTTATTTTCTTCGGGAGATAAGCATAGCTTGTAGTGAATTAACCATAAGAACCAGAGTAGGAAATCCCCAATTTTTGCTATCACTGTTTTGCTGACTCTGCCTATAAGCTTTCCAAATTGGCCAAAATACTAAAATGCAAAATGTAGTTAGAAACACCCTTAATGAGGACACTTCTCAAAAAACTGTCTATATAAATACATACACCTATAGCAATACACACACATACATATGTATTTGTACAAACACACATACACATGTATGCATGTCTGAACCATTATTAAAATAACACTTACCACCTAACCTCTAGCTCATTTAGTGATGACATTTCTACAGACAGCCTGAATTTTGCACGCATTAATTATCTAGGCACCTCATTCTGAAACCTGAGTCAGCACATTGTAGACCCTGTATGGCCCAAATTGCATAAGTGATCAATAGCAAACAGCTTCGTTTCACAGCTGATACTTGTATGCTTATCTACACCTAACTGCACATTAAGGACTACCCTGGGACATCAGGCATCCTACAAAAGAAAGCCCTTGAAGCAACTTGTTATTATGCTACTGAGTTTATTAAATGCAAGGTGGCAAAAGACTTTCTTTCCTTAGATAAGGGGTGTAGTTAAGTACTCCTTATCATGAAATACCTGTAACAAGACCCTCTTACTGCTCATGGCCACTTTCTCATCCATGAAGTGGCAGCAGATTCTTGCCTCCACAGCTGGTGCCAGATGAACAAAGACCTGCTTTCTCCTCCCTTTCCTTAAACAGCACAATCACAGGTGTTAAGCTTTAGCACAGATAAGGAGACAGTTGATCTGGTGACAATCATCTGCTGACCAAAAGCACATTAAAATGACAATTTTTCTCTCATAGCCCCATGGGAAGTGCATTGTCCTTTGCACTGTAAGGTGAAATAATAACCAGCTTTGCTTTCCTCCCGTTTTCCGTTTTTTGTTTGTTTGTTTGTTTGTTTTTTCGAGGTTGTTAACCATGTTGAAACCATCCATTCAAGTAAGACATGAGTAACAATGGGTCACATTACCCCCTAACAGGTCCCATGACAGAATGCTGAGCTACCAACCGGCTACTGGAGCAGCACCTGGTTGTGGAAGTGAGTGCATTTCAGTCAGTAAGAGAAAAAGTTACTTCCACACATATAGGCAGTAAGCTAGTCTTCTAATAGATTTTTTTCCTGATGTTTTCTTAAGAGTTTGGCTGCTTTGATATTTTCTGAGTCACTGCAGATGGCACAGATGCAGTTGTCCCTGTAGCCAAGTGCCACCTGGTGGGGGGTTTGGGAGCAGCAGAAAGGCTCCAGATTTGTGAATTGTAGCAACTCATTCCTGTACCCTGCTCTAACGCATTTTCCTCTGTTCTGGGAAAACGGAAAAATACCACTGCTCTGTGGGGCATGGGCCAAGCATGCCCTGGTGACATGAGTGGGTGTGAGCACCATCCTGCTGCTGTGCCTGTGGTCTTTTACCTTAGTATTGGCTGAATTTGGGGAATACCAGGGGTTTTCTTGTATTTTTTTTTTTTTTTTTTTTTTTTTTTTTTTACTTTCTACTTTATTGTCTTTATTTTTCCTATATTTTCATGCCAAACACACTTACAGAAGAAGGTAAGATAAGCGGGATGGCAGTAGCTGCCTGGACATTGTTCCCATTCAGAGCCTGATTTATTTGGCAACCCTACAAAGCCTTAATGCTATTTCGGTCATACTTTGTGGATTTTATGATACCTCATTCAGAAATAAAATTGGTTGGTCCAAGACATTACTTTTTTTGTTGTACTTTAAATCCACTAGAACAGTGTGAATGTGACCTTTGCATTTCAAGCAGGCTTGTGCAATTCTTGCATTAGTTAAAAAATGAGCGGTACAGACTGAGCAGGGGACAATACAGAAAAAGATTTTTCACTGGCTTTTACTGCTAGAAATACAGCTTTATCTACTGCCCCATGTTCTCTCCAGGAACTGCCATTTACACGTGTCGCTTGTGAAAGAGCAAATTTTGCAGACTGCATTGAAAAGAACATTTTCCGGATCGGTAGCCTAAAAGATCCTGGATAAAGCCTCAAATAGTTACTTCATCTAATATTTAGTTCCAATGAGATTCATGTCTTGCTTTTTTGAACAGAATTCACTTCAATAATTCACTCTTAACAGTAATTTCAGTCCTGTTTCTCTGATTCTCTATCTCATAATGAGTGCCTGCACTTCCAAGAAGGTAAGAACTGATACCGATTATCACATTTTATTATGCTTGCCCAGATCAATGGTATAATTCCTATAAAAAGTCTTTATCACATTCCTTCCACTTGACTCTTCATAATGAACATTTCTTTGATAAGCTAATGAACCTACCATGCTTTCAGGTTTAATCTTATCTCTAGATGCATTTACACTGTAATTTCTAGAGTAAACTGTTAGGCATGGTGGCCAGCAAGGATTATCCATACCTGAAACACGTGATTTTTTTTTTTTAGAACTTTTATTTTTTACTAACAAATAATCTGATATATAATCATTCCCTGTAGTTGTGTTGGTGACAGTAGCGGTAATAAGGAAAATCATCAGCTCCTTTATTTAATTTTTACATTCATTTTCTGCATTTGGTAATAATTCCATACGTATTTCTCCTTTCCTGGAGAAAAGGAGGCACAGAGGGGGCCTTTTCACTCTCTACCTGAAAGGAGGTTTTAGTGAGGTGGGGGTCAGTCTCTTCTCCTAGGTAACAAGTCAGAGGATGAGTTTCTTTATTACTGTTACTGTCATCAACACAACTACAAGGAATGATTATATATAGGAACTTCAGACCAGTACTGAAAAAAAAATACAGCTAAGCACAGCAACAATTTTATTTTGTTTATTGTGTGCAAAAAGCCTTCCCGGTACTGTAACTGTGGGGCTTTAGGAGAAGGTGAGGGCACAGGGTATATGCAAAGAGGTGATATTTGAGCACAGGCCTCTTGTCCACATCTGCATCTTCCCAACTTTGTGCTCCTTGTCTCTTCTCCTCTACTGATATTTCTCCATTTCTTATCTCCCTCTGGCTTGGTCCTGAAGTAGAGATGTACAAACTATTGGAAGTATCCTGCCACCTCTACTCATAGTAAGCATTTTGGTAGAAAAATTGTCCATGTGGTATTTCACAAACTGCCCACTGTCGGTGGGAAGTGGAGAGGGAGGTGCCTGTCCTCTCCTCCCTGGGATACACTGATAGGACACATGGAAATGGCTCAGAGCAATCAGGGGAGGCTCAGACTTGACATGAGGAGGCAATTTCTTCTTCAAGTGTGTGGTCAAACACAGGAACGGGCTTCCTTAAGAGGTGTTCCCCAAACCCCTTAGTGTTCCAGAGCCATCTGGACTATGTCCCCAGTAACAGGCCTTAATTTTGGTCAGCCCTGAAGGGGTCAGGCAGTTGGACTAGATGGTCACTGTAGGTCCCTTCTAAATGAAATAGTGTATTCCATATTCTGTTCTATTCTCTATTCTGATTCATCAACAGACTGTTTGCATGGAGGTGTTCAGGTCATTTTTCTGCCCAGCTCAAGGGAATATGATGGCTGATTATTGGGTAAAGTGTTACAAAGTATTTTGAATGAATATTAAATAAATGAGACCAGAAAAGTCTCTTCTCCACTTGCCTAAGGCGAGTAATTTTAATGAAAGTGAGAAAAAATATTTTTACCCATTATGAGTTCCACAAAAGAGGGATAATGGGTTTGTTCTGGGCATATGCTGGGGCTTTTAATAAACATTCTCCCAAATAACTGTCTCAGGCTGCTATTCAACTGCAAGAAATACTTATGATGCTCCTCTTTATTATTATTATTACACCACCAGCATTACCATCACAATTGTCTGTCAAAATATCCAATAGCTCAATTGTAGAAGATCCCAAAGGACGTACTGGAAACAAAAATCCAATTCCAATTATCCTATTGGAGCTAAAATGCTGCCATTATGAGCAGGCCTGTTCTACAACATCTGAGAGAATGAACCCTTCTGAGAGATGCTGACAGATAAACACTGGCTCTTGAAGAAAGACTGTTCTCCCACTGAAATCTGCAATTTTTTTAAATAAGAAAATTATTTTTCCTTTTCTTTTTAAGAGTGTATTTGTTTTTAAAATAACCATTTGAAACAAATGCTGAATTTAAGATCATGTTCTCCTATGTTACTCATTAGACATT